CGGCGTTGGTGTCTGCGCCGCCTGCTCGATCAGCTCCGCCGTCAGCTTCACCATCCTGCCGCCTCCTGCTCCCGCTCCGCGGCGCCCGGGCTCCCGGCAGACAGACCTCCCGGCGTGGCTCAGGCCCGTCACCAGACACACTTCCCTTTGTGACCCGCGCCGGCCGGCAAACGACCACTTCCGGGCGACCCGAAATCCTTCTGACACACTTCTGGACTAGCCCCGACTAGACGCACCTCCCGGCATGACTCGCGCCTCAGTCGTCACACTTCCCGGCGTACCTCACGACCAACGCAAAGACGCACTTCCCAGCATGCCCGGCGTACACGCCATACACATTTCCCGGCATGCCCCGGGTCGACGCGGACACACTTCCCGGCGTGCCCTGCGACTGACGCAAAGACGCACTTCCCGGCATGCTTCGTGACTGACGCAAGACGCACTTCCCGGCATGCCCCGCTCGCCCCTAGCCTCGCTTCCCGGCGTGCACCGCGCCGGCGTCGACACACTTCCGGTGTGCTCGCGCCCAACCGCAGGTACACATCCCAGCGTGCCCTGCGCCCTCCAACAGGCAGCGTTAATTGATTGGGCCCATTTTCGCGCTCGCCGCTCGGCTCCCGGGCCGAAACAATCGAAGAGGCAGGCTCCGGATCTCTTGCGGTTCTGAGGTCCTGGGGCTCCCGAGCTACTTCCCCGGTTCTGGTTGCGATACTGGGGCGTCTCTGGAATCTGGAGGGGCCCCAGATTTGTATCCGCTGGTTAAGCAAAGTGTTAAGCACGCGAGTCTTTTAAAGGTTCCAGGAAGAGGACTGGCGAGAAATGAAGACTCAATGCACAGGGTGCCTCTCCGGGGAAGGGGGTGCAGCGGCGTCTCTGGCGGCCTGCGAAGGGCCTTCCTGGGACAACGGGCCAAATGTGAACCCGTCAGAGGGTTGGACGGTGAAGACGCTCAGCGTGAACTTCCGGAATCTGATGGTTGTGCACGAAAAGGCCCTTGTTTATAGGAAATCGCCTCTGAAGTATTGGGAAGGAAAATAAATTTAAAATACTTGGGAGGTGGTAGGGTGTCACATGGGTGATGTCAGATCCGCTCAGGGAGAGAGTTCTCTGTACCAGTAACTTTTCTGAAGTTTGCATTGTGACGACTTAAAAATAAGTTTAAGCCTCACGCAATTCCAGACATGTCCACAAGGCGGCGCGCTCAGCCCACAAAACTGGTTTTGCTTGCCATTCCGCTAGCTGGGTTTTAAAAAAGGTTTTGTGGGTTTTTTTTCTTATGTTATTGATCTCAGAAGGGAAGAAGAGGGTCAGAGCGAAACACCAGTTTTGAGTGAGAATCATAGATCAGCTGCCTCATGCACACCCCACACCCGAGATGGAGCCCCCAACCGGGGCATGTGCCTGACTGGGATTCCAACCGCGGGACCTCCTGGTTCATAGGTCGACACTCAACCACTGAGCCACACTGGCCGGAGGGTATTCTGTTGTTTTAATTGTCTCCTCTGCAATCAAAGCTCAAAAGAACGGAGACAAAAAAGGACGTTTTCCAGGCACTTGAGACTCCGGGAGGGACTCATCTCGAACCCTCACCCTCAGGCTGTGAACGTGCAGTGCAGCCACCGGCAGGCTGCCCCCAGGACAGGGTCTTCCCAAGACACTAAATTCTCTGCCTCCTGAGGTGCCTCCTCTAGGCTCCCTGCCCCTGCCCCACTGACCTGACAGGCCATTCCCCACCTGAGCCCTGCAAGCTGGACCCAGCTGGCACTGTTTTGTTCCTTACAAAACATGACCTACTGGTTCATAGGTCAAAGCTCAACCACTGAGCACACCGGCCAGGCAGCACCCACGTGTAATCGCTGTGCCCAGGAAAGAAACAGACACCTTCGCTTGTAGGCTGTTAACTGTTATTAACCTACGGGTAGCACTGCATTTGCTCTGAGGGTGTCTTTCTCCGTGACATGGGTTTGATCCCCCCCCACCCCCCACTGCCATACGCGCGAACCGATCTCTTGTGGTTCGGAGGTCCTGGGGCGCCCGGCTACGTTCCGATTCTGGTTGCGTACTTGGGGGTCTCTAGAGTCGGGAGGGGCCCTGATTCTAGAACTCGCCTCTGAAGTACTTGGGAGGGAAAAAAAATTAAAATGTTTGGGAGGTGGTAGGGTGTCACCTGGGTGATGTCAGATCGCTCAGGAAGAGAATTCTCTGTACCGGTAACTAGTCTGTAGTTTGCATTGTGATGACTTAAAAAAAAAAAAGTTTAAACAAACCTCCTGCAATTCCAGAGATGTCCACAAGGCGGCGCCCTCACACCACAAAACTGGTCTTACCAGGTGTACCGGTTAATAATGCGGACTTTTTTTTCAATCGTCACCAGTAATGAATTAAAACTTCCCGCAAATGCCCTTTTTGGCACGAAATTCGACATTTTTAGGCGTAGAAATATCTATGATGCTAACACCTTCAGCAAACCCAAGGCCTGTGCCCTGACCTGGAATAGAACCTCGTGACCTCCTGGTTTATAGTTCGAAGCCCAACCACTGAGCCACACCGGCCGGGCCGCACCCACGTGCCATCGCTGTGCCCAGGGAAGAAACAGACGCCTTCGCAGGGGGCTGTTAACTCTTTATTAACTTAGGGTTAGCACTGCATTTGCTCTGAGGGCGTCTTCCTCGCTGTCACGGGTTCGATCCACCCTGCGGGGGGGCCCCCCCAGCTCCCAGGGACACGGGGGCTGCCCGATGGTCCGAGGGGGGGGGAGCCGGACACACGGAGACGCCCAAGCTCGAGAACAAGTTTAAGGCAAAGGTTACTCCCGACCCGGGAGCCGATCTGTGCATTTCCTGGGAAACAGAGGCGCCCCCTGTGTACAGGCCCCCCTCGGGGAGAAC